TACCGTCAGCCAACTAGCTCCGGTTCCAGCCGTGTCTATCCTGTTTATATCCCTAATACCAAGTCTATGACCTGCTATGCCCTAGTTTCTTGTTTGCCAACCCACAAATGTTGAGGTACTGCATGCTTTGGTTAGGTTCAATTTTTGAACCACAACGTTGGTGGTTGGCACACAATAGACTAAGGCATAGGAAGTAATAGGCTTGGTATTATAGATAAAAAAGGATAAAAACAGTAAAAGCTAGAGATGGTTGGCTAACAAAAGTCTGATTCAAAGATCACGTTTAAGATCAAAAACGTCTATTGTTTGCCAAACAGTTTTAGTCTCCACCGTGTCTTTCCTGTTTCTATCTGTAATACTATGTCCATCACATCCTATGTCCTAGTCTCTTATGTTCCAACCCACAAACGTCATGGTTCTACTTGTTTTGATAAGGCTCACTGAGGACGTATCCACTTGGCTTCTGATTATTCCTTTCGCACCACCCTAAAATCTCTTTTCCTAAAATTTAGAATATTACCATAATCCAGTCGTCTTCTTTTTGCTGATCGTCCTGTTGACTGGTCTTCTCCGGGTTTGTTTAGGCAATATGCAAAGTTTTCGCTTATCCTGCCTTCTTCAAGTCTCCTATTCATTAGATTCCTCTGAGTCAGTATGTCAATGGCCTCTCGGATCTTGCGTTTTCTTGTATTTTCACCATATCCAGCCAACCTATCCGTCGATTTCGAGTCAATTTCATGTCCCTTCGGTGCAATGTGTTCCGCTATTTCTGAACTTTGTATATCAATGTTCCTGCAGAGTCTTTGATGTTACTTTATTCGTAGGCCGATTTTTTGTCCCGTTTTATCGATATACTTTTGCGCAGAGTTTCCGCATTCGATGCGATAAACTCCTTAACATTCAAGTTTATCCTTCTTCTCGTATTGTGCTGGCAGACCGGTAAAAAGTGTTTTTTTCTCGTTTGTTATCACCTTGATATTCCATTTTCCTAATAAAGGTCGCAATTGTTGGCTCAGTTTGGGTAAGGGTAAGCAAATCCACTTTTGGTTGTTATCCTCATTCCTGATCTAATTTTCATAAAATCCAAGTTAAAATCGGCCCTTTATAACCTATAAATTCTCTGGGGCATCCATTTCTTAGACAGATCCGCGTCAGTCTGTATAACTCCTCGTACCAGAACTCTTTGTCTGTTAGTCGTAGGCTTCTGATGATCATACTCCTCAGCATCCCGATCTTCAGTCTGTAATTATGATGAGACTGGAAATAAAGGATTATTCCCGCATACGAATCCTTTCTGTATAGTTTCCTTTTGAGTGTCCCTCTGGAGCGTATGACT